GCCATTGCTAGTAGGTTGGAGGCCATTGCTAGTAGGTTGGAGGCCATCGCTAGTAGGTTGGAGGCCATTGCTAGTAGGTTGGAGGCCATTGCTAGTAGGTTGGAGGCCATTGCTTTGGAGGCCATTGCTAGTCGGTTGGAGGCCATTGCTACGTAGTAGGTTGGAGGCCATTGCTAGTAGGTTGGAGGCCATTGCTAGTAGGTTGGAGGCCATTGCTAGTCGGTTGGAGGCCATTGCTAGTAGGTTGGAGGCCATTGCTAGTAGGTTGGAGGCCATTGCTTCTAGGTTCCCCTTCAAAAAAGGCAGCTGGAGCCTGGAGCCACCGTCAGTTTCTGCGGTCCGATACTACGCACCTCAGTGCACTCGCCAGGCAGAGCTTTGCAACCACCGGAGAGGACCGCTGCTTGGTGTTCATCTCATTGATCCAAAAGGACCTGCCTCATCATATCGGACAGCCCAAACATGATGAACAGTATATATATATATGTCTTGATTCTTGATTGTAAAAATGGCTGATTGTTCTATCTATCCTCTCATTGGAAAGGATGTGTATACTAGTATACTTCTTGTCTCTCTTTCCAGATGCCTGCCAGGTCGAGGGGACACTGGATTCCATGCCTACCATGCATGGATTCCATGACCAAGCGTGACCCATTATGACCCCATTGTGACCATGTTGATATATTACAGTTGATCATTTGAATCATTTTGTCCAATCTGGCTTCACAAGTCACGTCAACAATTTCTTCAGGATTCCGCGGTGATACTGTACGACCTGGCACAAGAACAGGTGGGATATGACCTTTTTTTACCTTCAAGTAGCCTTCGGTCTAGCCGGTAGCCTTAGGTGGGATATGCATGGATATGCTGGGAATGGAAATTGCAGGGATGATTTGCGATATCTCAAGCTGGCTGCGTTTCTAAGCCAGCTTGGTGGCGTAAAGAAAGCGTTTCTGGGAGATGGCTTGCGAAGAGCTTTGCTTGCCAAGTGTTTATCAGAACGACTCAATTCCTCCCTCCACATTGCACAATTTGGCCAGCCCAAGCAAAGATGCACACTTTTTGCATGTCTTGCATGTGCTTTCTTGAAGAACAGCCCATCAATGAGTTGCGGTAGAATCAGCGAGGTAATCGTATACGAGCATCAAATGTCGTTTAGTCGGCAGATAACCATGCTACTCGCCAATGATCATTCCTTCCCTAGGGATCCAGTCGTACCTTCTCAGGTTCAGCACCTGGACCCTCCTGGCACCCACCCCAGTCCCACCGAACCTGAGAAGGTACGACGGGATCCCTAGGGCTTATGCACCTGGTCACGTAAGCTGTTGTGTGGCCTTTGCTCGGTCTTCCCGCACCTCCGGCAAGGTGCGCGAACGCTTCCTGCCCCCACCGCGAACCTGCGGGAACGGGGCGGGGAAGCCCGCTTTCTGAGAGCTAAGCAATCATTCAGTCAGGTGCTGCAGTTCGACAATTTGTCACAGAAATGCATTCAGGTTCTTCTTCCTTCTATCAACAGAGTTCGGTACAAAAAAGGTTTGTTTGAACATTTGAACTCATTTACGAAGCAACACTCGTGGTCTCGACTTTGAAGACCGTTCGAGCCGGTAGACCAACCATTTCTTCTGATGGATGGTGCTGAGGTGCCCAACACCTGCTTGGGCCTGGGTGGCGATAGGTTGGACCGAGAACGGGCATGTGGACATGTTGACGTCAGGACCCCACTGCACTTAGGTTGACTCCCACTGCAGCTGTTGATGTCAGGACTGCAATACGTGACTGCATTAGGTTCAATTAGTTGCACCTTGCAGAGGTGTCACGCAAGCGATCACGAGCGAATTCAAACGTTAGAGGGAGAGATGGAGGAGGATCCCTTTTTGCCCCAGGCCCCAGGTGAACTGATATGAACTGGGGCCCCAGGGGATTCTTATACTGTATGGCTTTACATATGCTTTACTTATTAAATTAATCCCCTGCAGGAGTCAGTCTGAGGTCAGCAGGGTCCTCAAAACCGGACCCTTCCAGTTCGGAGGGTCTTGGCGGCAGGTGGTGAGGGGCAGAGATGGACATTCAGAACCTTTCAGAAGCTAAGCAGTTTTTCACCTGTACAATAAAGTCACAATAGCTCCGGAGTTCCCTCGTTGTTCACGCTTTCTTTTCTGGCTCCGGAGTCTCTCGTGCGGACCCCCCACCCTTGCGACCTGGTGTTTCGGTGCTCGGAGGTGTCGACTTCGAGGTCGCTTCGAAGTCGATCGTCGCCCCGAACGGAAGACAGGATGTTCCTCTACAAACCAGGGGGTTGCCCACTTCCATGATTGGTGTGTCGGGGGGGTCATCCAACTGGATGGCAGGTTTCCCAACTTGCTCATCACCGGCGGCGCGGATGGCAAGCTGCGCATTTGGGACCAGGTGAGGGACGTTTTCAGACACACATTCCAAAGTGGATCCGGAGTCATGAGTCAATGAGGGAGGCCTGTCCATGGCGGAGGATTGTTTTGCGCCTCCGAAGAATGGCGATGCAACTGCATGGGTGTGTATTTTCATGCATGTCTATATATAGGGGGGCCACGATCGCCCTGGCTGTGATTAGACTGGAGGATTTTCCGAACCTTCCACGCGAAGAAGAGATCAACAGACACAGCAGGATTGGATCCGCCGACATGGAGACCCACTGATTTGGCATTTCCTTCGCCATTGGTAAAAGGAACCCGTGTGGAAACGAAACCGAAAGGTATACAACGGATTTCTTTCATGAACAGTCACAGTTTTGTTTTACTCGAGGTGATGCCCCGGGCCCACTTTCACCACTCATCCAACCATAGTGGTCAGGACAGAATCAAGATTCGGCACCCTCAAAATCCAGACATAGCTGGCCTTTTGTGCATTTTTTTGTGCCCTGACGCCCAAACAAGGTGTCGTTTACATTCTTACCGGGACGGCTTCTCCAAGTGTTTGATTTTCTTGACCTGGTTGCGCCAGTCGATCTCACTGAAGCGGATGCACACCATCCAGATCGGCTCCGTACTGCCCACACAGCTGGGGGACCTGAGTGGATACGGTGACCTGGTGAGTGGATGCGGAGACCTGGAAAACCAGGTCCATTGGTTTTGGCATACTAGGGCCATGTGTCAACATTGCATCTGCCGGCTTTGGGTCATGAATCGTGAACACTTGGAACTGGCGCTTTAATCTTTAAAACATCTCGCAAAGGCAGTGGATTTGACGCCCATTGCCCCAATGCGGTGCCTGTATGTCTTGAGCTGACCCCTGACCAAAACTGGTGGGTGAAATCTGAAAGAATGAGAAAAGAACATCTAAACAATCTAAAGAAGTCACCACCATTAGGTACCGTTTTGCAGAATCTGGCCTCTTGGTACGCATTCATCTCACAAACACCCACAAACTGTTGGGACTTGGAGCTGTCATGCGACATGCGACAGACCTCCTTGATGATCCGGTGGTCTCACCACACATGGTTCAGGGCCTTCACCATTGGCTGGCAAGTCATCATCAGCGCGAGGCACGGGGTGCAGAAGTTCAGACCTTGACCAAGGATCTTCCAATGTGCCAGACAGGTTTTGTGGAGGTAGGTGTTGGATGGTGTTGGCCCTCAGAGCTCACTTCCAACAGAAATCAAAACAGCACAAGAAGGACTGAAAGGTCGCTAAGCTTATGTGCACATAGAGACACGCGAAACATCCTTGAAAGGGAGGGATGCGTTCCGCTTCCGAAGCGGCTCAGTGATGCTTGCTGCTTCCTTCTTCTACAAGCATCGTAGACCTTCAAATAAGTTTCATGAAGTTTCATTTCCCAGATGCTCCATGTATGGCATCTAGTGTATGGCATATTTACCTACATCGGGGTGGTTTGAAGGATCCATGTATAGGATTGTATAGGTATATAATAGGTGTAGGTTATATACATGGAGTGTTTGGTCTAGGTTGGTCTTCTTTCAACCTTGGTGACAAACGCGGACGGCCGACCATTGGAGTTCAATTTCAGCGTGGTCGAGGCGGTCCCCAAACCGATCACAGACAAGAATCCCAAACATTTGGCCGAGATCAACCACCCCTTGATCAAAGCAGGCGGGGGGTACATGGGAACCTTAAAGTGCAGTGCACTTGATTCTACAACACTCTGCCCAACCCCCAGGCCTTTCAGGATGTTTTTCTGCGAATGGTCTTCCCCAATGGCTTCTCATCTTCAGCACTGCTTCTTATGCGGTCACCGCCATCTTGGACAGCCCGCTGGCCACTGACAATAGATGTCATGTGAATCGAGGGTTGTTCTTTGGAGGCAAAAAACGGTAGACGCCTGGAATTAGTTTTGGCCCAATCATGTTCATGTAGCTTTTTGTCTAAGTCTTATTGAGAGTGCAAAGACCATCTGTCAGGGCAGACAGCGCTGACGCACTCTGAGTCTCTCTCAACTCGCGTAACTTCCCAATACTGCAGAGGCCCAACTTCTGGACCCCAATCTATGGAAACAGTGTGTGTTGCTTGTTGCTTTTCAACACACCCAATCAGGCACTCGCAAGTCCACTTCGATTCAGAGGGAGAGCAAGTAGATACCCCTCAGCTTTGAAAGCTGCAACATCTGATTGCTTGGCCAAGGCCTGGCAGCTTCCTCAGTCTGTAAAGTAGTGCCAGACTGCTTCCCTCGATATATGGAGTTCTCCTACGTGGGCTAAACTCTCATTTCCAATGGCAAAGTTGCACTTCTGTTTGGCTCCCCTAAAGATAGCGGATGGGACTGACATGGGTTTGGGGAGGTCTCCTCCTCCATTAAACAATACAAAAAAGCAAGAGCCAGGTAAACATAGACTTAAACCAACTGGTTAGGAGGGTCTCCCTATTCTAATAAGCAAGGCCTGTGATCACTACTGGCCGATCTCAGATCTCCTTTCCCTTCCTTCCCAAAACAGAATCTTCTCCAAGAAACATTGGCCTCCGCGGAGCTCCGCGCTTCAGCTTCGGTGACTCCTCCTACAGCGGCATGCGGCCAGTCGGCGCCTGAGAAGTGGTAGAAATCGGTTGAATGTGGGAGTTGTCCAAGAAGTCACACCACCAAAGCACCGGCTTTATCCGGTTCCGATGCATTTTGGTTCCTTCGACTCGTGGGTGGATGTGCTGTATCTGTATCATGATTTTACGCTGCTCACAACTCTACAAAGACAAAGCAAGAGGTAAGATGTTGAGTGCATCCAATGCTTGAGTGAGTCAAGAAAGTGTTGGGTTGTGGGACATGCCTTTTCAGTGTACACTTAGCAAACCACCTCGTCAGAGGTCAGAGGGTCACAGGCCCCAAGATTATTACGCAGGCAGGCCACCACGTCGGAAAATCATGACGCTGGTAGTGCCTGCTGCTATACAAATTCTCGCAGAACAGCGCGTGCAATCCATTTTGTGGCTTGCAGTGCACTCAACACACGAGAGGTTTTGTGAATGTTTTCTTTGGCTCTCATGAAGGACGATAGCTGCAGCGAGAATAGGTGTGGATGTCAAACATTAATGTCAAACATATAAAATAACATGATGTACCGTATAATAAACATGTATAGACTGTTGATTTATTGAAGCATATATTGAACCCCCCCAGGCCTGGCCTGGAGGTTTAAGGCCGTTCTGGAGACATGGTATATGTTTCTTCATCAACCGTCTACACTACACTCCCTGAACCCCCAAAAAGATAGAAATGGTGTCCATAGGCCCCGGAAGGAAGAGCATTTGGCACCACCGGTGCCATTCACTTCCCTTCATGGAACACTCGAAGAGTCAGTCCTTTGCTGGTGATGCCGGAACCCCCCGGAAAGGACTGACCTTTGGTCATCCCAACTCCTCCGTCGCCGGACGTCCGACGTCCGGACGTCCGGACGCCCGGTCCGGCCGCGTCCAGGATCGGGGCGGGGTCTATGTCTACGACCTACGGCAGGGGGGGGGGGGCGAAGACGTGGAGCGCATGGAACGGGCCGGTCGGGGGGCGGTCGAGCCGTGGTTGGGTGCTGGGTGCTGTCGGGTGGGACCCTTTTTGGGGCACGGAGTTATTGGGAGCGTTTGAAATAGTTGTAGAGCTTTGGATCGGAGGGATGGCGTTTAGAAGACCTGTCGGGAGGAGGTCTAAAACCAGTCATGTTGTTCTTTTGGGAGGACGCTCCAAGAGACGGGCCTTGCATGCGAGAGTATTTGTCATGTCAGTCAAAGGTTTTACCTAAGTCTATACGCAACATTATATACTCTAGGTGTAATGCGCATCGCTCACACTAGTTAGAAATGTGCGGCAGTTTGGTAGCCAGCATTGAAGCTTGTTCCATGCACAAACATGTTTGAAGGCATCCTTCGACAAATATGCATGCACATGTGTCAAGCCAGTAATGATGAAAAAAAGAAGCTGCGGAAGCTTCAATCCAATTGAACCCATCCAACCATCTCGTAGCCCGAAAGACCAACCTTTCCACCACTCTTGGGGTCCCACGACTCGTTGTTCTCCACGTCCTTCATGTTAGCTCCCTGCAGTTCCCCTTTCCATCCTCTTCCAATGCTTCCGTGTCAACCCCGTGTTCTAAGAAGGAATGCAGAGGCCTCACCGCTGGAAGACCGCCCCAAGAAACAGCCAAGCTGGTTATAGTAATGCATGGAGGAGCAGAGGTCACCAAACAATTTCAGGATCTATTTCCTTCAGAGGAGAAACACTCCAAGTACTTGTGAGAATCACATCAAATCCCATGAACCCCAGAGAGCTCCACCGGAGAGCTCGTCCACGGCCCTCTCCGGGGCCAGGATGTTGGCCGAGGGCCACAGTCACAAGACCGGGTCTCGCTGTCTCGCACGCGGCGGCCGAAGGTCATCCGGTGTTCAAAGCTCTAAAAGGGGATTGAAGCATATTGAAGCCATTCCAGATAAAGCGTGAGACTGGAAGAGAAAATCGAAACCTACATGGCACATCATTGCACCATGCATCCTCTTTCCATCACCCCAACTGGTTTGTAGACGCATGTATAGAAGTATTCCATAGTTTGGTCAGGTTATGACGAGTTGTTTGGGGAATTCAGAGTGAGAGAGAAGTGCTTGTTGAAAGTCTTTGTTCAGGACTGATCCAGGAGGTCAATTTTATGGTGTCCCCAAATCTTTATGTGAAGTAATCTCTAAGATCACGGAGGTGTTTAGTGGTCTATGACACAACGTTCGGTGCCGCACATCATGTGCAACCCACCACACAACATCACGATGTTTGGAAGAGTTCTTCCAGTTCTTCCCCATTTCAAATGGGCCTTACCCTTCCCATGCCCCGGACCGATGAGAAGTGAACGAACCTCCGACGGGTTCCCGTTCCGGGTCCGGCAGACTGACGGGGTCAAAACCAGGAGACCGACGGAGACCGAAGAGATCAGAGAGGAAGAAGAGAGAATGGACTACCAGGGAGGTCAACGTAGGAAGAAGAGGGCAATCTTGCCAGATCACGTACCAAAAGACTAAGAAAGCATCTATGTTTTCTGGTGGGTGATCTTGCCATGTCTTGCCTTGCCTGACTGATGTCTTCATGCTTGCTTCTTCGAATGACTTCGCATCGCTGCTACTACCTCACCACTGCAATCATCAAATCATCGGCATCACTACCTTCCAACAGGAGTGCTACTCCAGCTCCTAGTTCCCCCCAGCTTGGCTTTGGGCTCGCCAGAAACCTGTGGCAGAGTGAAAAGATGGATTTCATTAGAGCACACTGGAACTCACTCACTCACTCACACCAAGCCACCCAAACCACCCAAACCGCATCAGGCCTTTGTTGACACCAAAAAGCCCGTGGCCGCTTGGTGGCCCTTTGTTTTGACACGTCCCTGGATTCCGCAGGACAGGCGCCCTGGTGGTCAAATATCCGAGTGGCATCAGCCATGCAGATGAGCTCAACGAACCTCGGCAGACCTCGGTCCTTCGGAAGTGCTGCGGAAGACCAAACAAGACCATCCGAGAGAATGGAATTCGAACACGCAGAAAGCCAAACAAGAGTCTTTGGCCCACTAAGGGGATGCTGCATGACGAGAAAGATTGCTGGTCCCCGGCGGTGTCGGTTTCACGGTGGGAACTGCATAGGAACGTCGATGTTTGGGGATTGATTAGAAAGAGTCGATGGTTGAGGGACCCCCATTGGGAACTGCATGCAAGTGTTTTTGACTGTTTTATCAAAGAACCGATTGCCCATCATCATGAATGATATGAAGTGATGTAGGATGCCCTGAATTTCATAGCCATGGGCCATACTTCATTGGCATAGCATGTGTTCACTCCATTGTCATAGCATGTGTTCACTCCACATAGATGCCGTCTCGGCATGATTCCTTCTCAGGCGAAGGAGGCATCGTCCATGCGGTCCTCGATGAAATCCTCCAGATCCAGAGGCCACCAGTGTTAGGAACCAACAGTTGTCCAATTTCCTGTCGCTTCACATATGACATATTTACCTATATTGGGATGGTGAGGTGTCTCTGTGTTGGTATTAATAATATATATATATATATACGTGTGTGTGTTTTATATATATATATATGTGTTCCATACTTGTTCATGCTTGGGATTGCGTTTTGGCGCTTTTGGATGTGAGCTTTTTGGTGCTTGTGGATACCATCCAGTGTTTGCCGCAACCTGACGAACATCGCGCCGATGTTCCACGTCGTGTTATGTTGTGTATGACACTCGCTGTTGAATGGGAGTTGGACGCTTACTCTTACTCTTATATACTCCTTTCCTTCGGGGTCACCCGTCACCTCGCGAGAATTCAACTTCAAGGTTCCTGCAACAAACAAGACTGGTTTGAAGGGATGCCGGAAACCGGGCGGCAGAACGCATGTATAGCCTCAATTAAAAGACATCGGACGAGCACAGGCAGCACAAAGGAGTTGACTTTGGCTTCCCCTGCCTACCATCCTTTAGCTATCATCGCGGGCTTTAGGAGATATCCTGATATTTATCCCTGGAGCAAATTCTCCAATCACAGAAGTGGATGCTTTCTGGCACAACCCTAAGTGAGTCACACAAGAAATAGATAGACATAGAGATATATATATATATATACCTAGGACCGGGTGGTCCTTCCTTTTGACTATGAGACCCATAATTTGTTAGTACGGGTGTCCATGTCATGCAAATTACAGCCCTACGGGAAAATTACGTCCCTGTAGGTTTTCTATGTTTGTGGTGGTTCACTGGGCATCATTCAGGGTGGTGTGATTGATTCATCAAAGTCTAAGCGGGCCTTCAAGTTCTGACCAAACCACTCGATTAAAAGCAACAAATCCAAAGTTCTATTTGTCCATTTGATTTGGAAACTCCATGAATAAGCAAAATTGCAGCAAACGGTGTGCACTCTTTTCTTTTCATCCTTCATAGTAGACCACGGCGGTCAGAGTCCGACTGTCTGAATGCCTGTTCTGCCAAGATCAATGACCTGTTGATGGTCGATCGATGCACCTGTCGAACATCCACTCTTCTGCTCACCCGTGAAGGACGACCTATGAAGTCTTCTTGCAACTGAACGCTCCAACCCAAAGGATTCTGGCTCCAATGACTTTTTTGGGCTTGTCGCCACAATTGAACAGCTGTGTGCATCAAGTAGTGACACTTGGGCATGATCGGAAATCGGCGCTTCCGAGCAACCAAGCACTCATGAGCGAGCACTTGATAGGCCTTCAAAAAGAAAAACATCTGGCTTGCAATGGACTTTGCAAGCTCAGCCTCCAGCCAGTATCCATTGCCATACATTGCCGACAACGCCAAGTTCATCGCGGCAGTGCCATCAGCCTGCAGACATCAATGAAAAGTTGCAAAGAAACATATTCAACAGCAAACCAAAAAGATCCAAAAAACACATTGAAAGGAAAGACAAGGGAACATAATGTTACTTAAATCCCATTTCCAGGGAACAATGAAGAGTAAAAGCCGCTGGTCGGTCTTGTTTTTAATCATTTCTTGACAGAACTTGTCCAAAAAGAGCATGACAATGGTCGAGGCAGAACCCTTGTTCCATTTCGCTACTGGGCAAGCAGAAGATTGCGGCCATTGAAGACTGTCTCTGGAAATCTCTGTCACCCAAGGTGAGTGCCTATAATCTTTGCAAAACTGCTTGTACTTGCTTGTGATGGCCTGAAACTTGGCCTCAATTGACCCGTTCAGTAGGTTGGATTCCACTATCACAACAAAGCTGCTTCCAATCCACTGCTTGGCAATGCCAAGATGAAAGTTGTGCCATACATCCATTGCAAAAAATGCAGCCTGTTCCGGGACACAGACTGGCACTCCCTCCAAAATGGATGGAAGATGTTCCCAAGGTAGCGATGTATGCATGGTGGGCTCCCAACACGGAGGGAATGAAATGTCTTCGAATGGTACCGCTTGTAGGCCCCTGCGATCATCCTGTTCCTGTCCACCCTGACAAAGGTGGCAAATGCCGCCTGAAGCCTTTTTGGAAGACGCACCCCTTGCAACATTCCAGAATGTTCTTGTAAAGGATCCAATCTTTGAAAGCGCAGGGAGGTCCCCCTTCGAGTTCAGGTGTAACAGCCAAATCCGTCGTCCGTGGAAAACCAAACCATCCTGCAACAAATGGCATGCATCCTTTGCAAACTCCTTGACAATCATGTCCAAGGCCCCAGGGTGGCTATTTGAGAAGCGCTTTGTCATCACAAAAATAAGGAACTGGGTCGCAAAAGATCCTCCCAAGAAATTCAGACCCATTTGATTCTGAGGAAGTGCCCTGCACTCCTTCTGCTGGGCCAGATAGCTTCGTGTGCCTCTACCAATGCTCCCGTGGCAAGACAAAACAAAAATCCCTTCCTTTTTGGACGTGCGGCCTTCATCTGAATGAGAAAAGTATGGCACTGTGGAGGCCAACTCAAGTTGGCCTGCACGTGCCATGCCAAAGACTTCGTGGTCAGGATGCTGAAGCTCATAACGTCGCCAGAATTCAGCCAGCACAGCACGCATAGAATCAAAGTCCTTTGCTCCACAAAACAGCTTTGTGAACCGGCCTGTCTCAAGGAGGTAACCAGCCCAAGAGCTCAACTTGATAAAAGGAAACTCTTTGGCATCTGCTTCAGGACCCAAGGAAGCCCTCTCCACATCAACATGAGCAGCAAGACCATACTTGCGAAACAAGCGCTGAATACCTACTTCAGCATCACACTCCCTAATGCGCGCACACTCACGTATTGGGCGACCAGCTGTGGCCGCATGGGCTTCCACGTCTGCCCTTGCCAACTCCACAATGTGCTTGGCTGGGGCCTCGGCCGGCCATAAAAGTAAAAATGAAAAGACACTACCAAGGGTTGGAAAGGTGAGGGGAATCTGAGAGAAAGTAGTTCCAAATCAGTGCCACATATGCCAAACTTCACGCAGCTGTTGCAAAACGTTTTTCCCCTGCGATGATGCTCAGTGTCCCACACTAAACACCAAAATTACCCCACGGATCGTGGCTGATCTGCACGGCCTCCTGTAACATAAACATAAAAAGGTGGAGGGGGAGGGTTTCGTTTGTTCAGCGAACCCTCACCACCAGTGTTTGGTGCATTGTGACATCCAACATGTTTTCCAAATTCTGAAATTAGGGCAGCTTCCAGCATTTGCACCAGGTCTGTACTATGTGAGACAGCAAGAACCCACATCGATGTGTAAGCCCTTTCTTTGTAAGATACAAAACGTCTTGGTGGGTTTGATGTGATGCCAATCTTGAAGCAGCACAGTCGCACACCACCATGTGAATTCCGGAAACTTGTAATTTTATCTTTACAATGGGCCAAAATCTTGCCACATGTTGCCTGGCGGTCCGGTTGCCGCCTGTTCAAGCTATGGTTCTGCAGTCCGAGCGTTTTGACTTGTTCCCAGTCAAAAGACTCACCATCAAATTTAGCCCCAAGATCAACCAATGATGGAGTGGCGTCCTTGGATACGTTGATTATACACAACCATTGCCACAATGGGTTTGACAATGTTTGGCATGTTTTTGTAGAAGAATTGGGAGGCAAGTCAAACATGTGTTAACATTCACTTGATTGCACTGCAACTCTGTGTGTGTACCATGCCGCTTCGCCGCTACTGTTGGTCGACTTGAAGGAGGAGCTGGGTTGTCTAACAAAGAAGAACCTCGATCAAAGTAGTCTGCAAACTCTTCCTCAGGGTTGTTGTCTTCAATGCTCACGCGTTGTGGTGTGGCCGGAGGCCGACAAGGTCCTGGCACAACCTTGATTTTCCTCAGTTGAGCCCCCCCAAAAAGATGAACAAACCAGCCAATGTTTGCACATATCATGTTGCAACAAGCAGAGTGTTGCAGGAAGGTTGCTTCTCTTCAGGTTGTTGACCTCCAAGCTCTGATACCCCAGCAGTGCGTTTGATACCGGTGACAGGGCATTCATAAGTGAGAAGGTCCATCAAGAAGTCATCCGTATCCATAGCTGCAATGTGCTAAAGTTAAAGGAATCTAGAGTGAGTAAATGCTTTGACCTGTGTCACAGGTGAGAAATAGATAAGGGCAAACAAATGTGTTCCAACACCTCATTCTGGAACTGCATCGTGATCCTGTATATGTTGAGACTGGTATGTTACAAAGACGAGGCAGCAAGTCACAGATCAACTTGCAACATTCATTTGTGAGTCGCATGCTCTCCACAAACTGGCCCCAGGAGAACCAGGGCTCCAGGCACCATCAGCTACAAGGCGTGCGTAGTGGCGAAGAAGATTGATGTGTGCACCTGGCATGTTCATCAGGCAAATAGTCTTGGCCTGATTGGGCTGCACATGCCCAATCGAATCATGACAATCATTTGCTAACAGCAGTAGGTGCACAGCAAGACATGCCCCTTTTTTCTCATGTCAGCTGCCAAAGTGTGGCAATCTATTCCCCTAGACTGCACTGCCACCAAAAAGGCTTAGACAACGTAGGCAACGTTTTTGGGTTGCCAAGGGAAGGATTTCACGTGTGGGAACACATGTTCCACTTCCCAACCCTACATCCCCAGAGGAGTTCGAAGAGTTCAGTCACGACTCTTCCTTGGCCGCCAGGTGCTTTTTCAAGATCTTGAGGGTTGTCCTTGGATTGGCAACTTGGGCTTTTGCATGGTGCGGATGTTCAAAAATTTGGGTTCCATGTTTTGCACACTTTGTGCATGCCAGTCTCCTTGCTGCATTCTCGCTCGTGGTGACCCTTGAGCACCTTCGAAGCAGCAAATGATGATTGAGCATTCAACCAAGAGTACATCTCAGAGTTGCACCCCTTCCTCTCTATAGGTAAATGGTTACCAACACTCATATGACCAAAAAAACTGGAATCATTGGCAAGGTGCTTTGAAGTGGTTTTTTGCATCTGGGCATCGATCTTTGTGCGTAGCCTCAGTCATGCCCCCATACATGC